TCGAAGCACATTAAAATTTTGTCCGAAGAAAATAGAGAGGTGAAACATCAGATCCTCGAAGTTGCGAGAAATATAGTTAAGAAGCAACATCTTGAATTGAACAATGAAGGTAAGGAAACTGGTGTTTTAGACATAACTGTGTCATTTGATGGATCTTGGCAAAAGCGGGGATATAAATCACTGTACGGGATAGGAGTTGTAATTGATTTATTGACAGGCTTAGTAATAGATTATTAAATACTGTCAAAGTATTGTACGGAATGTACTGCTGCAGTAAGAGACCTTTCGAGGGATAGTCCAGATTTTGCGATTTGGTATGAAGGTCACAAATTTGAATGTCAGATAAATCATACAGGTTCCTCGTCTAGTATGGAAATGGAAGCTGCTGCAATTTTGTGGCAAAGATCCATCAAGGAGTGCAATATGTGCTACACTTGCATACTATCAGACGGAGATTCAAAAACATTCCAACGTCTGATATCGCTGAACATTTACGGAAAAGATAAACAAATTAAAAAAGAAGAATGTATCAACCATATTTCAAAACGCTTAGGAACTGGTTTACGCAGCAAGGTGAAAGAGTGGCGAAGCAAAGGTGTTTGTATTGGAGGCAAAAAGGTTGGTAGTTTAAAAGAAACCACAATAGTTAAGTTAACTAATTTTTACAGAAAAGCCATTAAAGATAATTGCGATGACGTAGAAAAAATGAAAAGTGCAATATATGCCACACTTTATCATTGTTCCTCCACAGACACCAAACCGAAACACAACAAATGTCCTGATGGCAAACTTTCTTGGTGTTTTTATAAAAGAGCTTTGGCGAATGGAGAATCCCCTCAAAGTCATTCAGTTATGAAGACAAAATTAACTGAGGAGGTTGTTGCGAAGATTCTCCCTGTGTACCAGAGATTAGCAAGCAACGAGATATTGTCCCGGTGTACTTCAGGTAAAAGTCAAAATGCAAATGAATGTTTGCACAGTGTTATCTGGAGTCACTGCCAAAAAGAAAGTTTCCAATCAAAGAAAAGATTGGAAATATCTGTTGTAACAGCAGTAAGTGAGTTTAATTTTGGATCCCTATTTACCTTGAGAAACGTGCATCAAAACACTTCCATACCCTCGATGCAAATTAGTGAAACGAGAGATGACCGCCGATTAAAGCAAAGTAGAATTAAAACTTTTCAAACTGCAAAAGACAAAAGAATTAAGAAGCGAAAAATCTCTAATACAATAGAAAACAAAAATATAAAATCTGAAGGATTATCATATTGTGCTGGTAAATTTTAAGTGAATGTCTTGCCACTCTATGTGTTTTTATAAATATCAGCTTTGCGGATGCTATAACTTGAATTATTCAATTTATAACTAACTATAATAAATTTTAAAATATTTATTAGATTTCTACTGTAATAATCTCTTATATGTTTGATTTTCATGTAAGGGTAAGTAATTATGTAAAATTTTATTTTATTATTTCATATTACACAAATAAATGTTTAAAATGTGTTTTTCTCAGTTCGTGAATTTTCTCTTTTCATGATTACGTAAAATGCTCCTTGCGTTTCATATTTCATCGTATCTCTTTAAAATTTTTACAAGTTATAAAAAATGATATAATTCACAAATTTGTGCATTGGTTTTGTTAAAAATTTAACGGATTATATTTTACGTTGTTTTGATTACCTTGAATGTGTGATAATTGGTGAAATATTTCATATAGTATAGAAAATGTATCTTTTTTTCATCAAATTTTATTCTGAATTTAAAATCCATGCACAGATATATTTAGTTATAGTTCATATACATATAAAACAAAAATTAAGAAAATATCTTAAAAACTAACGCGCAAGGAGCATTTTTAAAAAAAGTTTTAAAAAATTAAAAAGTTTTTGAAAAATCAAATTATAATTTATTTTTTTTAAAAAAATATATAAATTGTGAATCATAGTGATCATCTACTATATTGATTCCAATTTCAGCTAATTAAGATAACAATTTAAGAAATTAATTTCAAAGGTCCACCGTCCCCTTAAGTGATTGTAATTTTCTGAAATGTATAAATTCCGTTCATAAATTATATTTTCAACTGAATCTGATTTATTTTGGAATTATATTTAAAAGTTTACTTCAGATGTGGCGCCAACAGGAGACACCCATTGGGGACCCTGCCCCCTTCCATCGCGGTACGTTTAAAAAACTCTACAGGGAAAAAAATGATAGATTTTTCAATTTCACACTCAAACTTTTAGTTTTTCCCCCCATTTAAATTTTTAGATTTTTAAGGCCCATTTCAATTGTTTGTCGGGTGTCATGCCGCCCCTACAATGGAGAAGGGGGGGGGGTAAATGATTAAACCCTGTTGGGAAATGTTTAATCACACATCTGGTTAAGATACTACTTCTTAAAAATTATATACTGATTTTTGAACTCAAATGTCATTAGTCGTACTCTTAAAAAACACGTGAAAAAACTAAATAGTACCAGCAAATGTTCCATTTTTGGAACAGGCTAAAGATCTTTAATTTTTTTTTTTATAGTTCTTATTTTTCAATTTTAATTTGATTTTTATCAAAATTTTTAGTTTAAATTACCTTTCATTCATAGTACGGCGTTTAAAAGGTATAAACATTTAGAAACACATATGAGAGAATCACAATATTAAGTGACAAAAAAGAAAGAGATTTGCTCTGAAATTTTCCATTACTTTTCTATACATACCATGTTGAATTATTTTTTGTTTGTTACCATTTGTTCGTTATTTAAATTTACTTATTCTAATATAACATTATAGTAAAAAAAGAAAACACGTTCTCGGAAATTAGGCCACCCCAGGTGGGATTTGAACCTACGACGTTAGGAATAAAAGTCCAACGTGCTATCAATTGCACTTCAGTGACATAACGTGAACGACTTTTCTTTGTCTATATATGCTGTTGGACTATTATTTTTGTTTGCTACTTTTTCATTTTTTAATTTAATTAATGAATTAATATTTCAAAAAACTGTATTAATATAAATTTCCATCCACTAAAAGTATTAAAAAATGCATTTGAAGTTGAATGGATGAGTAGAAAGTATTTTACTAACGATAGAAAATGTAAACAATATATATATATATATATAATATATATATACTGCTGGCCATTTTAAATGCAACACCCGGAAGGAAGCACTCAAATAACATGAAATTTACAACATGCATTAGCGGAAGTGAGATATGCAAATGATTAGAATTTCAGCACAGACACATATCACACACGCCTGTGGCGCCACCTCAAAGCGCTATTTAAGGCTTGGAGATTTCGACGATTTCAAGTTCGGCAAATGTGTTTTTCTTGTGGTTTCTTCAAAAAACGATCAGTTATGTCCCGTAGAAAACATCGGTCAGCTTTTGATCAAATATCCGAGTTCGACAGAGGAATGATAGTGGCCTACCGAGATTGTGGATTATCTTTCAGGGAAATCGGTAGTCGTGTTGGACGAAATCAAACAACTGTAATGCGGATATGTGACCGTTGGATGCAGGAGGCTACGACAGACAGGTGACGTGGTGAGTGGCATCCACCTCAGTGTACCACTTCACGTGAGGACAGGCAAATTGTGTGCATGGCAGTGACGGATCGCTCAGTTACATCACGAACCATAGCACAGCACATTGAGTCTGTAATTCAGTGTTTGCACGTACCATTCGACGCCGTTTACAGCAGAGTGGTCTGTCCGCAAGACGTCCATTGCTTGACGCAGAACCACAGACGTCTCCGCCGCCAATGGTGCGATGAAAAAAGGAGGTGGGCGGCAGAATGGAATGAAGTTGCCTTTACTGACGAGCCACGCATCTGTCTGCAACACCACGATGGTCGGATTCGTGTCTGGAGACACCGTGGAGAGAAGATGCTGAACAGCTGCGTTCTGCACCGTCACACTGGTTCTGCACCGGGTAGCATGGTATGGGGTGGTATTGGATATCACTCTCGCACTCTAGTGCGCATTGCCGGTACTTTAAACAGCCAGTGATACATCTCCGAGGTGTTGGAGCCAGTGTCCATCCTTACTTTCAAGGCTTGGCCACAGCCATATTTCAACAGGATAATGCGCAACCACACGTGGCACGCAATGTACAATGGTTCTTCTTCAATCACCAGATTGAATTGCTTCCCTGGCCGGCTCGCTCTCCGGATCTTTCGCCGATATAAAGCATGTGGTCCATGGTTGCTCAACGATTGACCCAGATTACACTCCCATCTGCCACACCAGATCAACTTTGGTAACGCATGGAAGCTGCTTGGTCTGCTGTGACCCAAGAACACATCCAAAGTCTCTTTGAATCAATGCCGAGGTGTGTGGGCCGCGGTAGCCAAGTTGTCTATGCATCGGATCGTAGTTAGCATGTCATAAGTTCTATTTCAGTGCCACTGAAGACCCGCCGTGTAGGGGAGCGATGCACGTAAAATCTGTCGAGAGCTCAAACGTGTTCCGGTTGGTGTGGTGTGGTAGTTAGGAGAGGGGGTGCCAGCTCAGGTGTCGACCACGTCACTTGACCATGGTCCAAAATTACGAGGACCGTACCCAAAAGCTCTCGCGTAGCTGAACAGTAGGACGTTAATATTCACTCACTCACTCACACCGAGGCGTGTGGCAGCGGTGATCTCCAACAATGGCGACTACTCTGGCTACTGATTCTGGCAGGAACCAAACTTCACGGAATTCTAATGATTTAATCATTTGATACTTGGTCAAAATGATATCTACAAATTAAATTTTGTTGTTCTATCTCTTGTCTTTCTTGGTGATGCATTTACGATGACCAGCAGTGTATGTATAAACATGTGACAGATTCACAATATTAATTGACAAAATAGAAAGCGATTTTCCATTTTCTTTTCGATATATACCATGTTGGACTATTTTTTTTTGTTTGTTACTATTTTTTCGTTAATTAAATTTAATTATTCTAATATAACAGTATAGTAAAGAAGAAACCACGTTCTCAGAAATTGGGCCATCCCAGGTCGGATTTGAACCGATGACGTTTGGATTATTTGTCCAACGTGCTATTCATCGCACTGCATGGACACAACGCGAACGACTTTTCTTTGTATATATGATGTTGGACTATTATTTTTGTTTGCTACTTTTTTCATTTTTTAATTTAATTAATGAATTAATATTTGGAAAAAAACTGTATTAATATCAATTGTAATCCACTACAAGTTTTAAAAAATGCATTTGAACTTGAATGGATCAGTAGAAAGTATTTTATTAACGATTGAAAATTTAAACAATATATATAGTGAGAAAGTGAACTAATAGTAGTAATTGAAAAAAGTATAGTGTGTATATAATGCATAAAATTCGCGAGGTGAATAAGAAGCATCTTTGTTCCATTGCAATATATTTTCATCCACATATATCGCTGAAAATATTTAAAGACTTGAACTGACTTCTGGAACATCTGCAATAATGCAACATAATTGAGAATAAGAAAGCAATAAATGCATTTGGTTTGGTGATGATTTTGCTTGTACATTGACAACGCAAATGGCATTAAAAGCTACTAATATAATTTTATTTTATTTTTAATTTCGCATTCAGAAATTTTTTAAATAATGTCACTTTTATGAAGGCTTACTTTATCTGATGAATTATAAATTAGTTTTAAGCCGTCTGAAGTTTCACCTGTTCAGAAGCACCATGGATTTCTCAGAATCGCAATGAAGTTATTTTGTTTTAAGTGCCACTTGCTGAATTCCTACACTGCATGTAAAAACAACGTAATTATATTTATGAAAGTCTTAAAATATTCTAATTTATCATAGAAAATATGCAACACCTACGTAAAATAATCATCTAAGAACAGAGAAACCCATTTAATTGACTCTAGAATAAAACGAATACAGCTAACATCTTTTCAATGATTAAACACACTGACAGATAGAGATCATAAAAGCAAGATCCTAAGGCAATTATAATTTAATATTTATTTCTTGTTCCGAAAAAACCCTTAAGAGATAAACTCGTACTGCTTCATAAAATGAGAAAGGAGTTTTGTAAGGGAATCTTCTCAAATGAAATAGCTTCACATAAACTTTTAAAGGTCATGGACTTTAATTTTAATTGAAAGCCTTACTCAAGAACTATTTGCGTTCCACCAGACTTCTCTTTACTTTTTTTCTCTACCAGAATTTAAAGACTTCTACAATTTTCATTGCGACAGTAAATTTGTTAATAAAGTCACATTTGAACTTTCATCGGACTTACTTAGGTTTATTTCTTTGGAATGACTATGTGCGTTTTAATTGAAGTACTTTCCGATCCCAGAGTTTAATGATGTTTTAAAAAAATGTTGAAAATTATTTCTCTCAGAATATTATTTTTTTTGGAACCTTGGCATTAATACAAAAATGTTTTATATAAGCATGATATTTAAATAATTAAAATAAATTTCAACTGATTTTAGTAAATTTTTATTTATTCATCATTTGTTCAATTGCATTACTTTTGATTTGACATAATTTATAAAGTAAAACAATGCACCTAATTGGACGGGAAAAAAATGCACACGTGTTTGCTTTTAATAAAAATTAATCTGTTGACATTTATTATTTTAATTTTTATACTAAGATTTTTTCATTAAAAATAAAAAAAAACCATAAAAATTTATGTAAGCAGCAATTGTTACAAACTAATAAATAATTTTTTTTTTCAATATTTTTTTATATGGTGATTTACTGTTTTTTTTTGTAAATAACTTATAGGTATGGTATATATTATGTTGTTTCATCTTTCAAAATTTAGAACATGTGCTATTTTTGTCAATTAGGCATTATTTCATGACTTTTAAATACTGTGCTTTTATTGTTTTAAATGCGGAGCTTCTAATATGAGCAGCAAGGACAAAAAGTACTTGTAAATTCACAACATTTATTATTAATGAAAAACACTTAAGACACATAATTTTAATTATTTAGTCTTTTATTTATTTATAAAATTAACAATATTTTGGAATTTTATTTAATAAATTTTCAACTTTATTTTAAAAAAGTAAAACATTTGAAAACATATTTTATATTTTGAATATTTTAACGCAGTCATGTAGGTATATCCGATAGTTAATCCATTAACCCAACATTTGTATTCAAATGATGTACAAGGTGTGACAATTAAATTCCCGAACTGCGCTTGACTTGGCCGTTAGGCTTGGAAGGTGTGAGAATAGAATATATATATTTGACCATGTTCCTTTCAGAGCTGGTAGCAAGTTATTCCATACCTCTATCTAAGTCAGTTTGTTTTTCATCCTCGTTTGAGTAAGACGTTGTTGTGTCGAAGTGCTGCGAAGAAGTGCGAAGTCATAATAAATGTAAAAATCGAGCGGCTCATAAATTTGAAAATTCCCCGTGAAATTAAAAACAAATCCACCTGAATGTTAGAAATTGTTAAAAGAGTGTTTGAAAATGATTGCAGATGACATAGTCAAATTTTTGAACGTCACAACTCATTTTCGGAAGATCGTGAGGTTGCTGAAGATGATGAACGTTCTTTTCAATCTGTGACATCAAGGATCGGTCATACTTATTCTGTTTGTTCGATATTAATGCCATCATCAAGATTGAATGGGTACCTCGAGGCCAAGTGATATAAGAGCAGTATTACATAGAAGGTCCTGAGAAAGTTTAGAGAAAGAGTGAGGTAGAAAAGTCCTGATACACATTTCACTCTCGGTAAAACAGTTATTGGTAAGCAAACGCGTTATTGTACTTGAGAATCCACACCAGATCTCATACCATATGATGTCAACATGTTTCTTAAAGTTAAAAATGTGTTGATGGGAACACATTTCGGTCCCAAGAAGAGGTGAAGTCAAAAACGGCAGACTTACTGGAGATGGTGGCACCGAATGAGATGCTGAATGCTTGGAATGGTGGATAACTCAGATGCAGGAGGGAAGTATGTTGAAGGGGATTAAAATGTATTTGTACATCGTTTTCAATAAAACTAATTTTTAGGACAAGTTCAGTCATTTTATTGTCACACTACGTACTTTAACGTCACAACTTAAAGAAACGGGGAGCATTGATCTTGAATGAAGAATCATCCTGTTGATGTCTTCTCTTTTTCAGCGCCCTACACTTTTTGAAATCCTATTACCTTAAATTAGTTACAGCACTCCAATGGGGAGTAATGTGGAATATTTGGAAATCTATATCTCAGATATTTGTTGCACAATAACTTTAATGACCGAAAGCACTATTACAACTATTGCACTGTCAAATTTTATAAAATTCACTTATCAATGGTGTTGTTTTTATATAGATTTTAATTTACAGTGGGTTTTGTTTTTAATCCTTTGATTAGACCAGGACAAAATCCAAAAGACTTTCATGTGTCAATCAGTACTTCCCACCAAAACCTGTGAAATTAAGCATAAAAATGTGACAAAGATGGGATGACAAATTAAGTTATAAATCGAGCTTGAATCTTCAGAATAGAAAAAGAACATTACCAACAGGTGGGACTTTAAGATTGAGATCTATTTTTGCAATTCAATGTAAAGGTATGTAATTGTACTCCACAAGTTTTTCAAAAATATTTTCCTCAATGTGGCATTAGATTTTTCGACTGGAACACGTAAGTCTCAGTCTTAGGCATAGTAGTACTTTTCCGTATTGATTTACTAAATAAATATTTGTGAATACTGTGCTAAATAAATTTTCCTTGTAATTGTGATATTTTCAACTCTATGCATTATTTGTAGTTTTATATGTGGTTATACCTTATATTATTTAAAAACATGTCTTAACTTTTCAAAAATTTTACTTTTTTACTTTTAACATTAAAATTCTGAATATACATTTATGTAAATTATTTATTAATTTAAGGGAAAACTTTTGAGAATGCGCAATATTTTTTTAAAGTAAATACTTCCCTTTTCAGGGTTATAAATCTTACGTAAGTTGGCTATGTTCTTACACAATTATAGAACAAAAATAATAGAAGAAACATTGTTTCGATGGTTGCAACAACACATTTTTAGCTCTGAGCCATTTAAGATGAAAGGTAGTAAGGCTTTGAAATTCTCTAAATGCTCAGTTAAGCTATTTTTTACAAAACACTTTTCAAAATATTTCTGGTCATTATCGTTGCTAAAAGTGACAGATGGTTTCTTTTCATTTTTCAACGTTTCTTCCAAAATTGGCTCTATTCCAGTCTTCCTGATCTTTTCCATCCATGTTTTCAGTCTGAAATGATTTTTAGATGTATCATTTGATTCATGTAAATGTTGAATCTTTTTGGAAATGGACAAGAGAGCATCGTGTTCCTTTTTTCACCCTTAAAATGCTTTTTTAAAATCGATGAAATACGCCTTCTTTCTTTTTATATCAGTTATTTTCTTGAATTCTTTAGCTGATTTTGGTCCAAGATTATCAGTTATGGCAGGAATATATCTTACAGACGACGTATTTTCCATGATACATAACAGATACAAATAGATATGAGTAATCAATCAATAACATTCAAAACTAAATGTATATCTTCCGTAACCTAGATATTTTGATTACAAACTCCATACCCTTTTTTAAGACTTTTTGTAGGGCATTTTGAAACGTCGTTGTGAGATCACCCCTTAACTCAGCGTTTCTAAGACTGTGGGGTGCACCCCCCCCCCCAAGCGAGGTGGAATAAACTTGGGTGGGGGTGCAAACATATCAAAAACAAACTTTAAAAAAAATTATAATTTTACTGAAAGGAAGCAAAACAAAATACATTCTGAAGTAATATAAAATAAAATACACATTTACACTGATGTAATACACTTATATATGTATCAGTACTATACACAAAGTATTTCATAATAAATTTAACAATACTAAGTTAAGAACAAGTTGAATAATGACCAGTGATTCCATGGGCTTGTCATGTATAATATTTTATACAAAATTTAATATTTATCTTGATAATTAGTACGGTTTATAATTTTAGTCGTATTGTAGCTTAAGCGTCAAAGTATATTAATATTCAATTCAATACATTGTTATTGTATGGAGAGGGGGGGATGAAAATTTTGATTGATA